GGCTTTGTTTGCAGGAGCCCCCCAACTCAAGTTACCCGAACCCTTCCCAACCCATATTCCAAGATACTTGTCTGCGGAGCCGAGGACCAAGCCCGGCAGCTCGATATCGTGCTCAAACATCAGGCGGCCGAATTCTATGCGACTGAGCCCGAGAGGAGGAGGAGGAGGAGGAGGAGGAGGAGGAGCGCACGTAGCTTGAATCCACGGCAGCTCAGCTACCGCCAGGGCCGTAGCATCGCATCGCGACGAGGGCTGCGGTTCGCACTTCGTAATGATAGGTGGGCGTGGCCGCTGTTGGCCTGCCCGCAAGGTCAGCGTTCAAAATGGTGCAACTACGGAATCCCAGCACTACGATCTGATGGCAGCGCTGGCGGGGTCACTCGGATTCAGTAACTGGTATTGGGTCAAGCCCCAGACGTGTGACAGGACAGGCAGGGAGGACGCCACAAGGGATAGCAAGAAGGTGGAGGAGACGAGGACAAACAAGGTAGTACTGGAAGGAGTGAGGGGCCTGGTATCTAAACAAACACTGACACTCCGCAACGCTCGGGATGCGTGCGGACGTGGCCCACCCGCCTGGCAATGTTTTGATGTGTGCCCAAGTCCACGAAGGAGGAGGAGGAGGGGAAGGATGGGGGCGCAACGCTGTAGCGCTCGATTGGTGACGTCGAGGAATCCGTGTTCAAGTGCAGACCACTGTTCAGCAGAGAAGGGCAGAAAACAAAAGCATGTCATGCCTTGTGTCACACCTTTCTGATTCGAGATAGCTCCAACCTGTCTTTGCAGAGACCACGGAGCGGGGGGGAATCATTTGGTTGATGAGCAGCGCCACCGTCACGCTCACCATCAAGGGCGGCACGAGGCTCGGGTCGTTGGCGCACCTGGCCCCTACGCCCCTGAGTCACCACCGGGTTGGTGGTGGGGGGCTGGCGTAGAAAGAAGTTGCGCCGCAGTGGCGCCACCGGGTGGCAGCGAAATGCCCAGAGGGGAACGAGGGACTGGCTTGGACTGTTTGGTTGACCCCAGCGCTCAGTCAGAGCATGCACCCGAGGAGACCTGCAACCACCTCGACAACGGCACCGCGGCCCCGATGAAGACATGGCCCCGAGCCTCCCCATCGGTGCATGCCCCTCCCGAGGGCGGGGGAGGGGCACTGGTTCAGTCATCGCCGCCAGCTTGCGCAGTCCTGGCGGAGCGAATTTCACCCCACACACGGCGGGAGGTGGGGCGGGGCAGGAGGGCGAGGAGGGTCCTCCTCCTCCTCCTCCTCCTCCTCCTCCTCCTCCTCCTCCTCCTTCTCCTCCTCCTCCTCCTCCTGAAACGAAGATGGAGGGTCGGTGGTTGTGGCCGTGTCTTGTCGCTCTTGAAACTCCGAGGGCGGGAAGGAGGTGCATGAAAAGGATGGGGGGCGGGGGCCCAAATAACCACCCAAATTCGCAGACGATTCTAATCCTCCCGTCCCAAATCCCTTCCTGGTGAGAGTTCCTACGCGCAGTAATTTTTGCCACGAGAAGCACTACCTTGAGAGACGCGCGCCCCAGTGGGCCTGATGGTCAGGCGAGAGCCCCGTTTTGAAATGGATCCGCCCTCCATCCTTGTTCTTCTAAGGCGCGCGATGAAATAACATCAGGCTGGCGATGGACCCAACTGTATGCAGTTGTAAATAAAGAAGTTGTCTCGCCCTCGGTGGAGCTCCCTATGGGGCCACGAAACGTGTGGGGGTCTGCCGGTATGGGTGCGGTGGGCGCATGCGAAAGCAGCCACTGGGGCTTTCGGTGGAGCTCCCTGAAAGACGACGAAACGTGTGATGGGTCTGCTGAGATGGGTGCTGTGGGCACATGCGAGCGCATCCACTGGTGCCTTCGGTGGCGCTCCCTATGGGGCCACGAAACGTGTGGTGTGAGGGTCTGCCAGAACGGGAGGGGCGGATGCTTGCGAACAACGCCACTGGGGCCTTCGGTGACGCCCCCCCCCCCCATGGAGCCACGGAACACCTGAGTGGTGAGCCGAAGTGGATGAGGCTGACGCGTGCAAACACCGCCACTGGGGCCTTCAGTGGCGCTCCATATGGGGCCACGAACCGCGTGACTGGTGTGCAGAAAAGGCCGGGGCGGACGCATTCGAACAGAGTCACTGGGGCCTTCGGTGGCGCCCCGCCCACCACCCCATATGTGGCCACGGAACGTGTGAATGGTGAGCCGATGTGGGCGGGGTGGACGCATGCGAACACAGCCGCTGGTGCCTTCGGTGGCGCTCCCCATGGGGCCATGAAACATGTGACGGGGGGTGTGCCGATATGGGCGCGGTGGGTGTATGCGAACGCAACCACTGGGGATTTCGGTAGAGCTCCCTGAAAGACGACGAAACGTGTGATGGGTCTGCCGAGATGGGTGCTGTGGGCGCATGCGAACGCATCCACTGGTGCCTGCGGTGGCGCTCCCAATGGGGCCAAGAAACGTGTGATTGGTGTGCCGAAATGGGCGGGACGGACGCACGCGAACAGCGCCACTGGAGCCTTCGGTGGCGCCCCCCTTATGGAGCCACGGAGCGTCTGAGTGGTGAGCCGAGGTGGGTGGGGCGGACGCATACGAACACCGCCACTGGGGCCTTCGGTGACGCTCCATATGGGGCCACGAACCGTGTGATTGGTGTGCAGACATGGGTGCAGTGTGCGCATGCGAACAGCGCCACTGGGGCTCTCGGTGGAGCTCCTTATGGGGCCACGAAGTGTATGAGGGGTGTGTCCGCAAGGGAACGGTGGGCGCATGCGAACGCAGCCATTGGGGCCTTCGGTGACGCTCCATATGGGGCCACGAAACGTGTGAGGGGGGTGTCGATATGGGTGCGGTGGGCGCATGCGAACGCAGCCACTGGAGCCTTCGGTGGAGCTCCGTATGGGGCCGCGAAGCGTGTGAGGGGTGTGCCGGAATAGGTAAGGTGGGCGCATGCGAACGCAACCACTGGGGCTTTCGGTGGAGCTCCCCGAAGGATAACGAAACGTGTGATTGGGACGCGAACGCAGCCGCTGAGGCCTTTGGAGCTCCCAGTGGGGCCACCAAGCGTGTGAGGCGTGTGCCGGCAAGGGTGCGGGGGTCGCATGCGAACGCAGCCACTGGGGCCTTCGGTGGAGCTCCCTATGGTGCCACGAAGCGTGAGGGTGTGCCGAAATCGGTGCAGTGTGCGCATGCGAACGCAGCCACTGGGGCTCTCGGTGGAGCTCCCCATGGAGCCGCGAAGCGTGTGAGAGGTGTGCCGAAACAGGTGCGGCGGGCGCATGCGAGCGCAGCCACTGAGGCTCTCGGTGGAGCTCTTCATGGGGCCACGGAACGTGTAAGGGGTGTGCTGAAGTCGGCGCGGTGGGTTTAACCGAGCGCAGACACTGAGGCCTTTGGCGGAACTCCCCATGGGGCCACGAAGCGTGTGATAGGTGTGCCGAAAGAGATAGTTGAATGGGGCTGATATCCGAAGCAGGGATGGGAGGAGGGATGAGGGAGAGGATGAGAGGATGTGAAGGAACGCGGGGCGCTGCCTCTTCTCAGCGAGGACCCAACACAACAGGTTAGTTGGGAACAACCAATTTCAAGGCGTGTCCAAAGAAGGCCCCGTTTTGAGATGGAACCGCATTCCATCTGTGCTCCTCATGCCTGGTCGGGAAACGCAGCGATATCTCAAACCAGAGCCCCAATTCGAAAAAGGATCACCCTCCATCCGTGTAGCTCGTAGAAGCGCTGAGAAGCACGCGTGCGTCACCAAGACGCTCGTCGCATGCTCAAGCGCCTGCCGCCCATCTGTCTAACGGTTGGAAGCCCTTGAAACGAATGTGCGCGGCGCTGGAGGCGATACTGCAGATTTCGTAATAAAGGGAGGGGGGTCTCATTTCGGGGGGGGGTCTCTTCCAGGCTATCTTGGAGGGCCTGGGGGGTCTGGGGACGATGTTCTGGAGGGTTCTCCCACGGGGGAGGTCTGAATAGCTTGTCTTGGAGGGTCCAGACTCCCTCCCTTGTATTACGAAATCTGGAGTAGCCTCATCGGAAACCAGCAGCCCTTCGCCCGTGTAGCTGCTGGAACCCGTCGAGCTCACGCGCGCGACTCTGAGGCGAGGTCCTCGTGCTGACCACAAGCCGCCCTCCGCCCGTGTAGCCGCTGGCGACTTGTTGTTAAGACGATGGCACGCGGCGCGAACACGAGAATTGGGCGCCCGAGCTATCCGGGGTAACTCGGGTCCGGGGTAACTCGGGTTTGGATTCCCGAAAAACGAACCCGAGTTAGCCCTGACCCGAGTTACCCCTGATGATTTTGGGACTCTGGACGCCCGAATTATCCGGGGTAACTCGGGTCCGGGGTAAATCGGGTTCGGAATCCCGAAAAACAAACCCGAGTTAGCCCTGACCCGAGCTACCCCTGATGATTCGGGGCTCTGAGAGAACGGCATGTTGAAAACACGGCGCCCTCTATCCATGCAGCGCTTAAAGGTTGGACGGCCACGAACGGTGCAGACGTCCTGTCGACAAGCCAGGACAGCAATAGCAAAACTTCTGGATGACGGCTCATAAGGACAAGGGATGGAAGCCACGCTCACCATGAGGGGCGGTGTGAACGCGGGCCATGTTTTCATCCTGAAGCGTTGTTCCTCAATCCTGGGTCCAGGACAAGGTCCTGAGAGGCCGGAAACTGTGAACAACCTCAAAGGCCCTTTTCTCTATGGCAACGTCTAGACGCTCCCGCAGAATGGGAGGTCTGGCGCTGGAAACACGAAAGGCCTCGCTGCGACCACCCCACGGGGCCTCAAAAACAGTGCCAAGAAGGCCCGCAGACGTTGACAACCCGACGGCCCCGTACGCCACCAATCAATCAGTTTGTGTGTGTGGCGGTGGGGGTGGGGGTCAGCGGCAGAGAGGCTTCAAACGTCTGAGAATATCCAAACTATACGCGAGGCAGAGCGGAGCATACTGATGAAAGGTTCAGAAAATGCGCGAAGATGGGGGGACAACGGAATCAGGAACGTCAAGACACAACAACGGTAGCATTGGACTGGGGAAGCAGACCAAGGATGCCCCACTGAGAGGGATGCAAGAGTACTTTACTCCAAAGGCCTAACGTGATACATGATTTTGACTGCGCGTTCTCATCATCAGACAAATGGACTGCGACGCATTTAACACAATGGAACAAAACCTGGAAGAAGAAGCGCACGAACAAAAATAACCATACGAACGTCTAGTTACAACAATGCGCATGAATGTGAGTCTGCACCACGAGGAGTCTGATCAATGATCAGGAATGCGAGGGTCTCGCGCTAGCGAGCCCTCCAACTCAGATCAGCCAGAGAACAACAGAGTGTATCACTTCGCAATGCACTCGCGCGGCAGCATCTGGCACAGAACACCCTCGCAAGAACACCCATGCGCGTGACTCTGGCAGTACCCTTACCATTGTCTGACGTGCTACGACGCGGCTGGACACAAAGACGACTGGGAAAACACATAGAACACGCGGGGGCTTCTGGATAAACAAACACGCGAAGGGCCGGCGTGCCCGTGCGAGAGAGGGCCGTGCGCTGGAACGACATGCAACCGCACGCATTCAGCTCTCACCCAGGCCGTCCACGCCATGCGTACCCAACTTCCTGGCACGGTCCCGGTGTGGCCAGCCCTCTGGCGACAAGGAGGCCGCTAGAAGGTGCGAGGGACGACGAGGGCAAGGACGGAGACAAGTCAGACAGAACGACAGGATGAGGACAGACTCACACTGGAGTATATCTGGGATATCTGAGGGCAAGCGGGTCTGGAGTTTAGAGCTGGTTGTATCATCAACGCGGGTGGCGGAACTATGCATTGTTCAGCGGCAGAGCGCATTATAGTGACAGACATCTGCATACACGTCAGCGGCTTCAAAGAGGAGGAGAAGGCTGAAGGAGGCGAGCAGCGAAGAGCCTACCGCTGCCTTGCTTGACGACACTGCGTGCCCAGAAAGTCAGCGGCTGCTTCTGCATTCCTCCGCGAGAGGAAGCCTTACAGGTTGCAGCGCAGCCCATCGTGCGGTGAAAACAACCGATGCACTTGACATCAGTCAGCGCAAACTCTTGCAGCGTTGGACCACTGGTAAGGAATTCATTTCACATTGCTCAACCTGGATCTGGTTGACTCGGACATGCACACTGCCATCAATTCGTTGCGCATTGGTGGATCTGGATCAAGTTCGTAGTGTGGCATCTGCTTGTACACTCTTTCAGTAGGCGAAAACTTTCGCCCTCAGTCAGACGAATCGCTGGTCGACAACGCGCGCTTGCGTCCATCACCAGCGGGTGCACTGTTGGCGCTTCTTCCTCGATGGAGGACTCCACATTCTTGTTGCTATTTTCCTGCGCTGGCGCAATTAGCTGAGCAGCCACACCAGCGAACCTTGCAAGAAAGAGGTCGGCGTGTGTACCCTTAGTCGCATCCTGGATGCCGGCTCGGAACCGCCTGCCTGCTAACTTGCTTGACCAAAACGGCTTGAGCCAAAGCTTCAGCGAACATGGCAGCGGACGATGATGATGATGTGTTGGACGCAGCGGCCGTGCAAGAGCGATCCAGAAAGCTCTGGAGCGAGGCATCCTCACCCAGGAAGTTCCTGAAAACGGCTCCCACCGCTGCACAGGTGTCGGACGCAAAGGGCTTCGGGTCTGGCGATCAAGTTGTCGAGTTGCTCTGCGATCCCGCGGCTCGGCCGACAAGCAGCCCGAGATCACAGGCCGCTTTGGCTCAAGCGTGGCCTTGCCGCTTGGCTCCAGCGCGGCCGCTAGTGCCACGAGGCCCCGCGGTCTGTCCATCGCGGTGGGAGAGATCAGACCCAGAACTCCGACGCAATAGCTTTCCCCGTGACGTGAGCCCCCGCCAGAGCTCTCGACACCATCCCCCGGACCACTTTTTCAGTTCCAGGACGTTTCTGTTGGCCTCAGACCTGGGGCCTGAAGCGGGCCTCCAGAGACCCCAGATGCGAAACACTTGCCGCCTCGATTTTCGTGACAAAGAAAATGTGGATCCTCCTGGGTGCATTCTCACCTGAATTTCGAAGCGGCTCCAGCCATGGCGACAATCCCCCCGAAAGCAGAACACAGAAACGGTCAAATCCCTGCTCCGGGCTTTCTCATCTATCCTTTCTCCTCCTCCTCCTCCTCATCTCCTCCTCCTCCTCGTCCTCCTCCTTCTTCCCTTGTCCTGATAAATAACTCCTCCCTGTCGCACACCCGTACGTTTCGGTAGGGTGGGCTGGGCATTTCGCCTGAGACTCCCTCGCCATTTCTGAACCTGAAGCTTGAGCTGCGCAACAATTTCACGGATGCAGGGCGGGTGGTTATCAACATGCGGCGGCGCACACTCGTCTTAAACAGTTTGCAACCGTTTCATAGCTGGATGGCGGGCCGTTTTCACAATGTGGCTCTCGCCCCAGCGCCGCGCACATCAGTCTGAAGCGTTCGCAGCAGTTTCAAAGATAGAGGCCGGCTCCTCCTCAGTAAGTGGCTTTCGCCTTAGCGCCGCGCCCACTCGTCTGAACAAATTGCAACAGTTTCACGGGTGGAGGGCGGGTCGGTTTCAAAATGTGGCTCTCGCCTTTGCGTCGCGCACGCTCGTCTGAAAAAAACGCAGCAGCTTCAAGGATGGAGGGCGGGACCTTTTCAAAATGTGGCTCTCGCTTTAGCGCCGCGCGCATTAGTTCTGCAAGTTCGCAAAATTCAAAAAGATTTGCATGGCCGACCTCCCAAGAAGGAATGGTGCTCTAGCACTGTATAGGTTTGTCAGGACGCAACCGTAAGATTGATTCGCGGTGTTGAAGTCCCAGGATTGACGTTCTGGCACGATTTAGGACTGCCGGGACGCAACAGTCACCTTGATCGGCGGCGTCGAAGTCCCAGGAACTCTGTCTGGACACGGTTGAGGAGTCTCAGACGATTGTCTTCTAATGGGCCACTTCCCGCAATCAGCGACAATTCTTGAAGGAACCTGTGACGAAGGAGCTTGGAGGGAGGGTTTATTGCAACATCTTTTACGCATTTTGGCTTTACACTGTTTTTTTTCTCCTCCTCCTCCTCCTCCTCCTCCTCCTCCTCCTCCTGCTCCCCCTCCCCGTCCCCCTCACCCTCAACCTCCTTTTCCTCCTCCTCCTCCTCCTCCTCCTCCTCCACCTCCTCCTCCTCCTCCTCTCCTGGCTTCCTCCAGAAGCGTGAAAAATACAAAGCACAGATCAAACGCTTGACCCTGTGTCCTTCCCTCTCCCGCGTTCCCCCCTGGTGGCGGCGCCCGCTGATGAACACGATCACCGCCACAGCCATCTGCTTGAAGCCGCTCAGCATGGCCGCGCTGCCGACCATCGCGTAAACGCCGGACAGCGCGTAGTCTTCCTCCTCCCAGGCGAGGTGCTCCCTTGCCGGCCGCGGGGCTGGCCCGCGCGGAGGACCCCGAGAATCGAGACGAGCGCTCTTGGGCCTTCGCGGGCCCCCGGGGGCCTCCACGAGGCTTCTGGGGGGCCTCCTGGGCTCGTCCTCCTCCTCCTCCTCCTCCTCCTCCTCCTCTCCTCCTCCTCCTCCTCCTCCTCCTCCTCCTCCCTCCTCCCTCCTCCCTCCTCCCCCTCCTCCCTCCTCCTCCTCCCTCCTCCCTCCTCCCTCCTCCCTCCTCCCCCTCCCGCTCCTCCGCCCCCTCCTCCCCCTCCTCCGCCTCCTCCTCCTTCTCCTACCTCCGGAGTGCCCGGCAGACCTGTGAGGCCCCATGCTGAAACTTTCGCACGCGTCGTGAGAGCAAACGTCGAAGCGGTCGGTTTGTCCAAATGTTGAGGCCGTTGCGTTAGGTCGGGCATGTCCCCCTACAGGCGGAATTTGGACGAACAATCAAACATACTCAAACAACACCCCAAAAGAATGAACAAATGATCGAAACATCGCCCTCTACTATTTTTAAAGCTGCTTGTGAATATTCCTCCTGTAGAGGGACTGGCCTGACTTAACCGTTGCGGGGGCCCGCTCCCCGACCTCGGGGCCGTGACAAAAGCTGCCCATGGCGATGCACCCAAACCCACGGAAAAAAGGAGTCGTGTGGTCTGGGACGGGGGGAGGGACATGGCGAAGGCGGCAAGGCTGTCCTGTGGAGTTTCCCGGGAGCCTCCGTGGCAGAGGGCGCTACGCCGCGCACACAGCGCCAGGCACCATGCGCCGCGCCAGATCGCGCCGCACTCGACTGGCGGCAGCCTCCAAGACGAGGGCTGCTGGGGCACTATGGCCAGAGAGAGTACTTCGCGTGATGCGCTGGGGGTTATCCTGGCCCTTTCTTGTGAGTGGCTTGCGCTGTTTCATTAGCTGCCTTGGGCCAGCCGTGACCGACCACAGCAAGAACATACATAAACACAGTGTGTAGGTCAGACATGCTAACGAGGATTGCTGTGGATTTGAGCCCCCCCGCCGCCGCCACCCCACGGGCCAAAACAATCCCACGACCAAAGAGTCCCTCACCTGCCGAACGGCAGGGGCAAGGGCCCTGACAAGTCCTCCACTTCCGGAGACGAGGGAAGAATCTTCAAGTAAAGCGAGCAGATAAATTTAGGACCTGCTTTTGTGAGACAATACGAGCTGCAAGTGAGGGCGGCTAAGGGTCTCGTGGTTTTGGCCCAGCAAATCTTGGGCCTCCCAGCGGACAAGGGAGCCGCGGCAGAGTCCACACGGGCCTTGGCGGCCCGCTGGCGGACTCAAAATTACTCCCGCTGTGAGACCCCGCGTGAGAATTTTCCAAACTCATCGGGGAGTAAAACTCATCGTCGCCCGTGTGAATGCAGGGGCTCTCCTCCCGTCTCCTCATCGCCCTTCTCCTTTTCGCCCTGGCGGAGCCCTCTTTCCGCCCCCTGCTCGGCCTCCTCCTCGTCCGCCTGCCTCTTCTCCCCCATCCACCTGCCCCCCGCCCTCGTACAAAGGGAGCGCGGGGCGATTTTCCTCGGCGCCGTCGCCGCCGCGGCCGGCAAGCGCGCTTCCTCGGATGGCCGGATCGCGAAGCCATTGGTGGCGACCCCGCGGGCCAGGCCGTTGGGGCAGCCCCGCGAACCGCTGGGGGGCAAGCCGTTGGGATGACCCCGCAGGCCTCGAGCAAGTCGCGGCCGCGCTCAGGCGGGAGCAACGCAAAGCCAAGCTCTGCCGCGAACTGCTCCGCCTCAGCCCTGGAGCTCTCGGCTCTCTCGTCGCACTTCCCGAGAGCCTTCCGCAGGGGCGCTGGCGGCCTGCGCCCCCGGAGCTCTCGCGTCGGCGGCCGCGGGGTCGCGCGCTCCGCGTGCGCATGGCGCGGAAGAACACGACGCGGCGGCGCAGTCACCGCTGCTCGTCCGACATGCCCGCGCTGCCAGCGCCGTCGCCCATGGCGCATCGATGGTGACGCCCTTGCGCAGCGTCTGACCCTGAGACATCGTGGAGGTCCGGAAGGACGCGCGCGCGAGGGTGAACCCCGAGCGGCGCGCGACGTGCGGCCCCGAGCTCTGCCACGTGAGCTCCTGCTCGCTGGGCCTGAACATGAGCATGCTCCTCGCCCGCGCCTCGGCCTCGCCGGCGTCGTCAGCGCCTTCGGCGCCCTGCGGCAGCCGCCCGGCGACCTCCTGGTAGATCGGGAACTCCTTGAAGCAGCTAACTTGCATCCATATCCCCTGCGGTAGGAGGTGGGGGCGGAAAGGTTGGCCAGGCGCGCGCCCCTCTTGCTGTTGCTCGCCGTCTTGGTGGAACTCGAAGGACACGACGGTGGTCTGTTGCTCCCGCGCGAGCCCCAATCGAATTTCTTCGCAAGCTCATCCTGCGCGGCCGCGAGCCGAATCCCTGCGCCGACGCGTGCCGGTAAAGCGCCGTGGATGTTCCCGTCGCGTGCATGTTCGTGACGTTCAGGCCCCGCCGGCCGGCGTCGAGATCGCCGTGGATCGCGCTGCACAGGGGCGCGCCCAGGCGAGGCGCATCGCGACGAGCGCGCGTGTTGATCCACCTCGCCAGCGTCTCCCAGTAAATGCCCATGCCGTAGCCGACGTGAAAGTTCTCGCGGTGGTGCCGAGGTTCCAGGGCGCCGTCGTTGTACGTGTTCTCCCGGGCGTGCCAGGCCTCTGGCGGGAAGGGCTCGCGCTCGCGCGTGCAGCCCAAAAACGTGATCAGAGGGTTCCCGGACTCATCCGCTTCGTGCGTTTCAGCCCGCAGGCGCGGGGGACCTGAAAGAATACCTGGACGGCGTGCTGGATCTCCACCGTCGGCGGCTCCGCGTACGTGCGCAATCCGTCGTCCAGGAGGTCGTTCACGTCCACCTGCGCCACGCAACGCGCGAAGCGCACGGCACCATACGCCGCGCCAGATCGCGTCGCACTCGGCTGGCCGGCATCCACCAAGACGGGAGCTGCTGGGCCACTGTGGCTAGGGGGAAATTGTCGCGTGATGCGCTGGAGTGATCGTGGCCCTCCTGTGTGAAGGTTTTGCACTTTTGAATGTCGCTGCCTTGGGCCAGCCGTGACCGAGCGACCACGACAGGACCATGCATAAACCCAATGCATAGGCCAGTCATGCTATAACGATGGCCCCCTCCACACCGCCGCCACCCCACCGGCCCGAACAATCCCGCGACCAAGAGGTCTCTCACCTGCCGAACGGCAGGCTGCTGGGGTCAACTCGTGCAAGAGAGCAGTGGCAGCAGGGACTGGCAGAGCGAGAAGGCAGGCAGTGGTACCAGTGCCTGTTGGTGCGAGAAAACTGTTGTCAGTGCCCGCCTGCACAGTGAGAACGCCTCGTCGACTACAATGCTGCGGGGCCAGCTCGTGCGAGAAGGACAGGCAGTGGCAACGGGAGCTGGCAATGCGAGAAGCGCATGCAATGGCAGCGGGGCTGGCACCGCGTACACAAGAAAGTACACGTTTGCAAATTCATCAGCTACAACGCTGGGGTCAGCTGGCGCGAAAGGGCAAGTTTTCCCACGGAAGGCAGCAGGCGGATGCGGGCGGCCTGCTGGACGCCCAAGGCTGGGCCCTCGTCGTGCCACGTGAGAGAAACAGCATGGGGAAGAGATAGCTGGACTACGCGTCACCATCTACAACTCAGAAGATCAAACCTTGTTGCCCAGGACAGGCCTTGGGGTAGGGGCGGTCTTGTTCGCCGCCACTTCGCGTGTCTCGCAGTTTCGGAGGTCAGACCAGCAGAACTCAGCATAATCCTCCACATCCTCTTTTTACTCCTGGTTTCGGACAAATGTGGGTCACGAATGGGGCGCCGATCCTTCCTCGGGTATGCACTGACCCAGTTCAATGCAAACCCGGGTCAGTCGGGCTGCGCATGATCCTGCAAGATCCTGCAGGATCCTGCAAGATCCTGCACGCAGACCAGGGTCAGTGTAGTTTTGGTGTTGTAGGATCCTGCCAGACAGATCTGGCGCTCTGGCTGACCCCCGTTTACACGGACCCCCGCCACTTGAGCCCCGACTTCCTGCCGCCCGCCGCTGCCTGGCCAAATGCGCGCCCCCTCCTCCCTCCCTCGCGAACTGCCGCAACCCCACCCCTCCGAGAACAACACGCGCCATCCGTTCCCCTACGCTCACCTGCTGCCCTCCGCTCTCCTCCTGGCCATCCCTCCCCTCCCCTCCCCTCCCTCGCCAATTCTGATGGGCCCGTCACCTGGGAGATTAGTCGTCATCGCACGACGGCCCTGAGAAATGTCAAGGACGGGTGTCACCCGCGGACGGGGCTTCCCCTAAGCGGTAAACCACCACGCCTCCAGGGTAGCCACCCATCTGAACCTTCGTGGCTCCCTAATTCTCTTCCTGGCTACGGACTGCATTTGACTTGCGTGCCTCCCCTCCCCTCCCCTCCCCTCCCTCCCTGCCTCTACCTGACTGCCTCCTCCCTTCCCTGTCCTGCCCTCCGCTCCCCTCACCTACCTCCCCACCCTCCCTCCCTCCCTCCTTCCCTCCTCCTCCCTCCCTCCCTCCTCCCTCGTGCCTCCTCCCTCCTCCTCCTCCTCGTTCTCCTCCTCCTCCTCCTCCTCCTCGTTCTCCTCCTCCTCCTCCTCCTCCTCCTCCTCCTCCTCCTCTTCCTCCTCCTCCTCCTCCTCAACTGCACAATATGAATACTACTCTCCTCTTTCCCCTGATGACGTCCGGAAGATATCTGGCCCCCCTCCGTGTACTGAATTCCCGGGAAATGGGTTTTCACTTTTGGTTCTTGTCAGGATGTTGCTCCCGCTGAAGTGCTGGCCTCATTTTCGGGCTTCCGCTCGTTCCGAATCGTGCTCCCGCTGCAGCGCTGGCGTCATTTCCGCGCTTCCGCTCGTTCCAAATCATGCTCTCGCTGCAGCGCTGGCTTTCCTTCCAAATAGGCCCCAACATCAAAAAGTGGCCTCCAGGCAAAAACCTTCGGAAAATGATCATACCTTCGGTGTCGATTTGTTGATTTTGGGGGCCGCAGAAGCCCCCCCCCACTTTGGGGCTTCGTCGTTTTCAGGAAGTATCAAGCGGGAGCCCCGTTTCTGTTTTGAGACGGCGATGTTGGAAGCAGAGCAAGCGAGCACTCTCCATCAATCTCGCCTTGTGTGGAGCTCTTCGGGGAGCCCAAGGAGCTAGACAGGAGCCACGACTCCAGACTGGCCCAGGCCTATCCACTTACCCTCCAAAGAACCTGGCGCCATGACATGACATGCTGTGCGGTGTCGTGTTCTGCGCCGCTGTGCGATGCCATGCTTTGCGTTACAATGCTTTGTGATGCAAGGCTTCACTGCGCAGAGCCACGCCATGCTATGGCATGCTACGCTCTGCCGTGCTCTTCTACGCCATCCCATGCCGTGCTCTACTATGCATCGCGTACCCTCTCGCGATCACTGCCCTGCTCGACATCCGACTGTGCGAATTAAGAAAATATCTACACCATGGGAAGGGGTGGGAGGGGGGGGTCGGACGTCAGATATGGCGCGAGCGCTCCTGGCTTGTCCTCATCCCTCCCCTCCCCTCCCCTCCCCTCCCTCCCTCCACGCATCCCTCCGCGAGAGGCGGGCGTGCGGCCGCCTCACGGTCGCGCCCCAGAAGCGGCCCAGCAGCCCCCCGATCAGCATGGCGCCGGTGAAATTGCCTGGCCAGGAAGGGGGGGGGGCAGGGTGCCACGATACTGAAGGGCCCAGGGACACACACACACATATTTATATATATATATACACACACATATATATATAAACAAATACACACAAATCCCAGGATTCCTTAGATTGTCCTATATTTTCTAGGTTTTTTATATTTCCCCACCCCACACTTCCCATATTTTCCTATGTTTTCCTCGGAGTCGACGATCAATTGTGTCTGTGTCCTTCCCTCCTGAGAGACGGTGGTGGCATTTTATTTCACTTCGAGGGCCGAGACCCGTGCCCATGCATCGGATTCGAGAGGCGCGCTCCAAGCCGTGCACGCACTGCGCGCGAGAGCGGCGCCCCAGCCACCGAGGACGCGATTACCTCCGCACTTCGCGTTGGCTGGGGTCCACCGCGCGCGATCGGGCGGCCTCCGCGCGCTCCTCTCGGGCCGCCAGGCCTCTGGCGCGCGCCTCGGCCAGGCGGCCGAAGCCGTGGGCGCGCGCCACCGCGGTGGTGGCATTGGACCAGGAACCCTCAGATGAGGAATCCAGCGTCTGGAAGCCGATGCGACTCCTGGCCATCGCTCGGACGTCCATTCCCTGTGTTTTTTGTCGGTTGTGTGCGTGGTTTTTTTCGCCAAATGATCAAGGATGCTCCTCGATGGTCCTCGCCGAGGGAAAAAAAGCACACGTCCGAGCGATGCCAAGACTCCTGTCGTGGATCGGCCACGGATGCCACCGCCGCCCTCATCGGATAGAGGACCCTCCGGGATCTGCGGCCTCCCCGGCACATTCCTTCACGAACGCCCCCCCCGTACGGAGGACTGGCTCAAGGTGGGGGGAACATCGACCTGGAATCAGCGATACGTCTCCGAAAGGGCACGACGTTCAACGACGACGACGACGACGACGACGACAACGACGACGACGACGACGACGACGACGAAGTGCGACGACGCCGTGTGATCCTCGACCCATGCGGAGGGCGAGCGTAACGGGGGACCGGATAAGCGGGGGAAACATCGAGATGAAATCGGCGATGCATCGCCGGTAGGCACCCCTGGTGGCGTAAACTGTCCGATTCCAGAACGCATCCTCTTGGCGGAAGGCTGTTCCTGCCGCGGGAGGCTCGCAAAATCTTCAGACATTTGGCAAGCCGATCAGTGGGGCCACGCGCCCACTGCGCCGCAATGGACAACGCAACAAATTCGACAGACTGGAGCGTTCGTGGGAAGGGCGCCCACACTGGACCACGCACACGCACGATCTCCTTACCCGTTTGTCGACGCCCGGATAATGGCCGAGCCAGCTCTGCTCAGTTCTCCGATCAGGTACCTCGTGCACGAGCCGTGCACGAACAAGATCCCCCTGGAACATCACACCCAAGTCATCCTCCGCCCCGTCAGCCCAATCCACCACGATGCCCCCTTCACAACACGGCGTCGGGAAGGAGTCGGCGGGGTGCGCAAAAAAAACCCAAACAGGCGAGGTTGTCGTCAGTCTCAGCTGCCCATTGCTGCACTCGCTCTTTGACTGAAAGACTACTCCTCAGACCACTGGCGTTCCCACAGGCGATGTCTGAGCGCATCTAAGCCGCATCCAAGCCGTGGGCAGCAGATCGATGCCAGCACATTGCCTAAGCTGGCAGCTCGCGAGCGATTGTACATAGCCTTGCGCAGCACGGCCCTAGCACAGCCCGTTTGGTAGGGGGCATACTTGGAGCCAAGAAGACAGCTCAATGCAGATTCCACGCGCGCCCTGCCTTCAAGGTTTAAGCGACCCCCAGGTCCCAATCGAGCCCCCTTTTAACACAGTTTTCTTGAGCAGGTTCCGAATCATCTTCATCGAAAGGTCCCTGAATTTGAGCTCTTGCCCCTGATCGGTGCCCAGGGCCCCGAAAGACGGCATCGACCAGGGGACGCACTCCACGAATTCCCTGAGGGCCGCCGCCACGCGGCCAGAAATGCTACACCACATGGGCGACTCACCAGGCACAGAAACAGCTTTCCAGGCAGCGAGCAACTCCGTGAGTTGCAGAGCGTGCTCGTGCAACGTGTAATGGGACCACCATCTCCTTGTCGCCGGCCGACACTTGGGGAATCAGTCGCGCGCGGGCACGGCTCACCGTGGGCCAGAAGCAGCGCCGCCAGCGATCGACCTGTCGCCGAAGACTGCAGCACGGAAGCCGCCCGTCGGCGGCACCGCAAACATCCGGAGTTGCTCGCGCCGCGGACCCCTCGGACCCGAGAAGCTCGGACGCCAGGGCCCCGGGCGCGACTGCGTTCCTGGCCACCTTGCCACCGATGGTGGACATCAATCCGCGAAGGGGGGCCACGAAGGCCTCGTTTACTTCCTCCGTGCTCCTCGATGTTCAGAACTCCCCGCACTGGCGCGACGAGGCCGGCCGGCGCAATCCTCGACTCCGAGGTGCGGGGCCGAGCCGAGCAGTGGCCCATCCAGCCCTCCAAGCTTGGCGACCAGCTCCTTTTGCGGAGAGCCTTCGGCGCACAGACGGGCGGTCTCTTGCCCTCATCCGCGGACGATCTCTTACCCCCATCCGTGCTGACCTTAGCCCCCGCCCCCTCCTTCAGAGGCGAGAGCAACTGGCGGGCGACTGGGGGCAAGTGCAGCACCGCAAAGTCCTGATAACCAGTCGCGCTAGGCCCAGAATCGTACATGTAACGCATCTAGTGGGACTGGGGCGGCAGCTGGATCTTGGATGGAGTAAGCACGACTGAATTGAATGGCGAACATGCATCCCCCCTGGGCACACTGTGGCCCATCTACGGACCCGTTTAACACAGGGACCTTGGCCTGGAGGTGCATGGCGATAGACGCGCGAGCGATGGCCATGGGGAAATACATCGGCCTGCGCCGCCACAGGAAGACACGCAAGTTGACAATCTGGTCGTACTTGTGCAGATCGAGCGAAACTGTGAACGCTTCATCCTGCATGAGGTAGACGTGCCAGCTCGGGTAGACTGCCCCCGAACAGCATTTTGGGCCACTTCGAAGGAGCCAGCAGCAAACTATCCACGCGCAGATCGAAACTCCCACTCCTGGGCCAGCGGGTTGCGAACTTTCCCATGGACGTCACGCATTTGGCAGAAATTGCCTATCGGTGTGAATTTGGAGAAGAGGGGGATTGTCCACTAGTTGTTTCGCTCTACCGCCACTCAGACAAAGCCAGGATGAGGATAAATTCGGACGAGGGTCAGACGGAGATCTCTGAGATCTGGCGGCTCTGGCGGATGTCTCGGGCGCCGCGGCCTCCTCAGAGCGCTCCCGAACGCGAACGCTCTGAGAGCGCTCCGGAACGTTCTGGAACGGATTTCGACTGCACGTAAGAGTGACCCTGGGCAAGAGTGACCTTTGGTGCGCGGCTTTTTGGGGGGCGCGAGGAGGCCAAACACAAGCGCGCAAGACGCTACTATCGCACCGAGCGCAGCGATCGGAGGACCCCAGTGAGCGCGCACCAAAGGTCACTCCGGCGAAGGGTCACTCTTACGTGTAGTCGAAGATTTGCCCTCTGGAACGTTCTGCACGTCCTGGTCTCTTCCGGTCCCGGCCCTGCCCGGCGCACCCTTCCCCGCAGGCCCTCCCGGCACGCCCTCCCCGCTCGCCCTCCGTGCGGCGCGCCCTCTCAGCGGGTCCCCTCCGCACGCGCCACGCCGCTGCCAGCCGCGGGCTGCGCGCAGGGGCAGAGTGAGAGGGTCCGGCGCCCCGTGCTCCCCCCCCCCCGCCACACAATTCCTCATGTGCAGAGGCATACAGACAACACCACCGTGCCCGGCCAAGGCCATCCTGGGCCCTGGCATAGTGCATGCGCGCCCCAGGCTGAGGACAGGGGAGGGTCCACATCACCATCCTGGGCCAGGCGCGGCTCGCTCTTGCTGCGTGCGGGCGCTCATATTCTCGAGCCGAGGAGGAGATCGTGCATTCACCAGAGGGCAGCTGTGGGTAGGACGCGTTTTCGGCGGCGGTCCTGCAGGCGCCGCAAGCCAGTAAACGTGTCTCGCGGGTCGCATCGAAACACCAACTGAGACAAATGCGAACGAGGGAATGAGTTGTTGTTATTATTGTTATTATGATTAATAATTTTTCTTTCCTGAGCTATTGGTTCCTTTGTTTGCTCCCTTTCCTGTTTTCGGGGGCAAGAAGAAGGAGAAGGGACGGAGAGGGCGAGCCGCAGAGGCTGGGGCCGCAGGAGGGCATGCGGTGAAGGCTTGGCCTGATGGAACGGGGACGCCCGCCAGGGAGATGTTGATGATCGTGTAGGCCACGAAGCATAGCAGCTCGTTCCTGGCGTGGATGTACTCCGAGTTCCTTCCCGCCCCTCCCCCGTGGCGGGGTGCCCATAACGCCGAAGAACGATGAGCATGAGGAGGGGGGGGATAGCTTGGATGTACTCCGAGTTCCTCCCCGCTCCCCCGGGCGGGGTGCCTGGAACGCCGAGGGACGATGAGCAGGGGAGGGGGGGGGGAGGGGGGCGATAAGGGAAGAGAGGACGTACGCCGGATGTTGTTGTTGTTGTTGCTGTTGTTGTTGCTGCTTGTGTTGGTTTTGTGTTGGTTGTGTGTTGTTGTTGCTGATGCTGTTGTTGTTGTTGTGGTTGTTGTTGTTGGTGTTGTTGTTGCTGTTGTTGTTGCTGATGCTGTTGTTGTGGTTGTGGTTGTTGTTGTTGATGTTGTTGTTGCTGTTGTTGGTTGTGTTGCTGTTGGTGTTGTTGTTGGTGTTGATGTTGGTGTTGTTGTTGCGGACAGTGCAAGCATCTTGTAGCATACCGTTTCCCGAGCGGTATGGCCAGAAAGCGCCCGCAACCTCAAGAGGCTCAAAGAGTACAGCCGTTGTGGGCTCCTGAGACGCAAATGGAGACGCAGAGACTCAAGGACGCAACGCTCGACCCGACAACTGGTACGAGCATCTTGTAGGATACCGTTTCCCGAGCGGTATGGTTAGGTCGGGCACGTCCCCCTACAGGCGGATTTTGGACGACAAATGAAAGATACCCCCAACATGCTCAAACATGATCAAGAACTCATCAAACATAGTCCCAATATTAGTTTGGACTAATTTCTGATATTCCCCCTGCAGAGGGACACGCCCGACTTAATGGTATCGCCAGGGAGCGCCCGCCACCTCGTGAGGCTCAAGAAGTACAGCCGCTGTGCTGCCACGAGGAGGAAACGCCAGAATAGGGAACGAAGGGGCTTGTCTGACCACGGCACGCCTCGGCCACGAACAAGCTTCTCGGCATGAGTCTGAGGATGAAGGGGCCCAGGGACACACAAATAGATACACACACAAATCCCAGGATTTCCCATATTTTCCCAAATTTTCTGGGTTTTCGTCTTCCCCCCCCACTTCCCATATCTTTCCATATTTCCCTGCGAGTCGACGATTCATTGTGTCTGTGCGTTTCTCTCCCTCCTGATTCCCGGCATGAATCAATCTGAGCTGGCCCGAAAACCAGAGCCCCTCCTGAGCCCAAAGCGGATCCACTTTGAGCGTCTTGACTGTAAAAATTGGGTCGCTGCTGCTGCACCCCCCGCCCCCCGGCTGCCCATCATCGAACTCTTCGGCGTCTGAGCGTCCCTTCTTCCTCTCGGCCGTCCCCCCCCCCCTCTCTTTGCCCGCCGGCCAATTCGCTAGTTAGTGTCCCTTTCTAGCTTCTCGCTGGAGAGGAGTTCGCCGCCTCGCCGCTGACGGAAAACAAATAAATATTGGGTCAAGGGCTCTGGCCATGACCTCCAGTCCTTAGGAGAAGTGAGCGGACACTCGTAGTGATCCATGCTGGCGGTGGACTGGGTGAACTGCACTTCGACCGCAGTCTTCCTCGCGCGTGCCAACCTTGAGCTTGGGGGAGAGGGGGGGTGCCTACTCTTAGGTCGGGCATGTCCTTCGACGGAGTGACTTTGGATGAAAAATACAGATAGTCCAACAATTGTCCCAAATAGTCGGAAAATCGTCCCGAGACTACTACAACGCCGTGACGTGACTCAAGTTTCTTTCAATTTGCCTTTTGGAATGGCGCGCTCGTGCGGAATAGTTCGGAGTAGTTTTACTAAAACTACTCCGCGCGCAATCGCATCCCGCTCGATAATTTGCATGGTTTGGCGCGGAGTAGTTTCCGATCCCGTTTTGGGGTAACAGAGTTATTAACGTCTCCGGGATCGGAAACTACTCCGCCGAATGACCCCAGCATCATGTCAAGTTAGGAATCTTGAGAGGGATGGGAGAGATCTTCATCATAGCAAATTGAAGAAACCTTTGCCACGGCTGTGTACGTTTGAACTTTCCTCCGGTAGAGGGACAGGCCCGACTGAAGCCTGCTGCTTCCCTCTGCCTTCTCGCGGCGCCGCCCTCGCCCTGCCGCCCCCCCCCCCGCCTCTGCGAGAACAGCTGCTTCACCGCGCCCTCGGAGGTCGTGAGGAGCAGGGACGCCACCGGGTTGTACATGTCCTCCTGGGCCCGCCGCGGGGGCGCTCGAGCGCGGGGGGGGGGGGGGCGAGCCCGCGGAGCCCGATCGGGAGGGGATGGGGAGCGGGGGGGGGAGGCAGGCTGCAGGGGTGCCAAGACTTGGCATCGATCCTCGAGACTTTCTTTGTTTTGTTGGGAGGGGGGGGGGGGGGGGGGCAAGTTCTAAACAATGGTTGAAACAACTCTCTCTCTCGACCTTCGATCCTCGAGGCTCGAGGGGGGGGGGGGGCTTTCGGGCGTGTTCGGCCCCTGCCCGGCCTCCGGAGGCCTCGCGGGGGAGCTCCCGGGGCCTCTGCTCGGCCCCTGCCGCACGGCCTCCTCGAGGAGGCCTCGCGGGGGAGCCTCCCCGGGCCTCCGGCCGGGGGGGCCTCCGGAGGCGCCGGGGTCCGGGGCGGCAGGGGGACCTGACTGGGGGGGGGGGCGGGGGCGACGGAGGCCCGGGCGGCGCTGCCGTCGGCCGGGGGGGGGGGGGGGGCGAGAGTCCCTGAGGGCTTGTCGACTTTTCGCCAATCGACTGGTGGGGATCGGGCCAGATAGATCCAGATGAATGCGGATAAATCGCGGTAAATCCAAGTAGATCCAGGTAGATCGAGGTAAGTCCGGGTAAATCCAAATGAATCCTAAGCTCTCCAGGGAAAGTTGGAGCAACCCGCGGCCGCTCCAGCGCGAGTCGAAGGACGGCAGACGTCGTTAAGCCTTTAACGAGAGAGGAGCTCGGGGCCACCCTGGATCCCGACGCGGTGGGCGCGTCGCCCTTACCCCTGCTCGCCCCCCCCACGCCTCCTGCTCCTGCTCCTGCTCCCGCCACAGTGGCACAATATGACTACTGCTCTCCTCTCTCCTCCGAAGGTCCCGAGGTCGTAGCCGGCCCCCCTCCGCGTATTATTGTTTTTTACACATGGGAACCTCGACACCTTATGGATTAGAGGTGTGTGTTTTTTTCCCGCTCCGAACGTCTTCGGTGTTTTCAGACTGGCACTCCTGCGTTGGCTCAATGTTCTGGCTTTCGGTCCCTCCAAATCATACTCCCGCTGCAACGCTAACCTCATTTCTTTGTTGCGGATCTTCCAAACCGCATTCCCGCTCCAACATTGGCTATCATTTTACGTTTCCGCTCTTTCCGAACCGTCCCTTTACATTTTTCGCCTTGCGTCATGTCTGGTTTCCCTCAGAACCTGGTGTCTAAATCAACCGTGATCTCGACCAACGCTGGCTCTCATTTTACGCTTCCGGTGTTTCCACACAGTAGCGTCCATCCACACTTCCCGCCCTGCGTCATGTCTGGCTTCCCTCAGAACCTGTTGTCGAACAGAAACCGTGTTCTCGACCCGACGACGCTCTGCTATGCTCTTCTACGCCATGGTACGCCGTTCACTACCATGCATCTCGTGTCCTCTCGGGATCATTGCCCTGCCCGACATCCGACTGTGCGAATAGAGAGGAGACCCACGCCATGGTAAAGGATGAGAGAGAGGGGTAGGACGTCAGGTAAGACGCTTGCGCACTAGCTTGTCCTGTTCCTCTCTTCGCTCTCCTCCTTCCCTTTCCCCTCCCCTTCCCGCCCGTCACCCTCCCTCCTCCCTTCCCCCCCCCCCACCCGCCTCCGCCCTCCCTCCCCCTCCCTCCTCCGGCCCTGCCTCCTGCCCCCTCCCCTCCCTTCTCCCTCCCTCCCCTCTCCCCTCCCTCCTGCCCATCTCTCATCCTCGTTCTTCCTCCTCCTCCTCCTTCTGCTCCTCATCCTCCTCATCCTTCTCTTCCTCATCCTTCTTCTCGTCCTTCTTCCTATCCTCCATGCTCGCCCCTCCCCCCCCCTTCCTTGCCCTTGTCCTTGTCCTCCGTCGTCTCCTCCACCCTCTTCCGCGCCCTCATCATTCGTCGTCGTCTTTGTCGTTGTCGTCGTTGTCGTCCTCTTCCTCCTTCTTTTCTTTCTAAATAAATCCCCCCTGTCGCACCCCCAGACGTGTCGGTAGGGCAAGCCAGGCGTCTCGCCTGATACTTCTGCACCATCTGTGACCATGAAGCTTGAAACTTGCAACAGCTTCACGGATGGAGGGCAAAATGTAGCTTTCGCTTGAGCGCCGCGCATCTCCGCAGTTTCACGGATGGCAGGCTGATCGTTTTCAAACTGTGGTTCTCCCTTTAGCGCTACGCGCATTCGTTTTTTGAATGCAACAGTTTCACGTTGGAGGGAGGGTGGATGGCTTTCTGAATGTGGGTCTCGCCTGAGCGCCGCGCCAATTCGTTTCAACATGCTGCAGCGGCATATTCGCGGATGGAGGGGGTGGTGGTGGTGGTGGTTTTCAACATGTGGCTCTCGCCTTGGCGCCGCGTGCATTCGGTTTTGAAATATGCAGCAGTTTCGCGGATGGAAGGCGATTGCGTTTCGAAGCGTGGCTATCTCCTCAGCGCGGCACACATTGTTCTAAAACGTTTGCCTACAGTTGTAAGGATTCGTATGATCGAAGTTCCAGAACTGGTGTCCTGGCATGATTTAGGAATGTCAGGACGGAATAATCACGTTAATTCGCAGTGTTGAAATCGCAGAAATGGTGTTCTGGCGCGATTAGGACTGTCAGGACGCAACCGTCACTTGGATCCGCGGCGCTGAAGTCCCAAGGATGGTGTCTTAACACGGTTGAGGATTCTCAGACGGTTGCCTTTTTTTCGGGCCACCTTCCGGGAGAATTGGAAGGTGGGTTTATTGCAACATCGTTGATGGGTCTTGGGTTTACTCTGGTCCTCCTCCTTCTCCTCCCTCCTCCTCCCTGGAGGCATGCGGGAAGGCAGAGTCTGACCCTCCACGCTCTCCTCGCAATTGTAGCGCACGAGCTCCTTGCATGCCTCCGAATAACAATGTTTTGGTCTCTTCTCGCACCGCGCCAGCAGCGACACCTCCCATCTTCCCCTCCAGCGCGGCTGGGCACACCACTCGGAAGGATAAGGATCAGGCGATGGGAAGAGGAGAGGTGAGGATGATTGCTTTCAGCTGCGGCAGAAGCCCTCGACCCCTTCCCTGGGGGAACCTTTTCGGTACCCTTTGGGATCCCCAAGAACCCGTCCACAGTCGGCGCCGCCTGAGTCGTCGAAGCCAATCTGGCGCCAATCTGGCAGGCCCAATCTGGCAAACGGGGGCAATCTGGCGAGGGAGCCAACGCGAATCCAGTCTGGCGAATAACCCAAATCATCCAGTTTGGCCAGGCCAGATTGGCCCTTGGGGCCCAATCCAATCTGACAGTCTGGCCTTCGACTACCCAGCCTGGGCTGGCCCCGAGCCGTGGGACGTGCCAGCTGCCGTGAGACGTGCCAGCTGCGGGGTCCAGAGTGCCTCCCTGGCCTCCCCCGGGCCTCCGACGCCTCGATCGCTCCGAGGCGCCTGCCCCCGGGCCTCTCCCGACCGCTTGCCCCACGGCTGGCTTTTTTTTGTTGGACGCCCGGAATGGGCACGCAGAAAAGGAGGGAGCCCGCAAAGGACGTACGCGCCCAACCATGTACATGAACACGGCCCCCCAATCTGCGAGACCGGCCGCGTGATACGAACGTTCGCGCAATGCGTACTCTCGAAGCCCACGTGGATTCATGTACGTGTACGTCCTTCTTTCGCTCCTGAGAAGAGGGGTGCGATGCTCCACGACAGATGTTGTCCAGAACCGACAGCGGCCGCTGTTGGGCAGGCGGCCTTCCGTCTCGAGCGGACAACGTCCGCGGCAGCGCAGACAGCAAGTCCTGCTCAAAATGAGCAGGAGCTGCTGTCGCTCGTTGTGCCCCTTCTTTCCGTCCCCTGGGTTTCTTAAGAAGCGTGGGGGGGGCGTCCCCCCCGACGGGGGTCAACCTCGCCTCGTCGTTGCGCCGCGACGGGGGTCGGAGCGCCTTCGGCGCGCGATGGCTGCCCGCGACGGGGGTCGATGCGGGGCTGTCGGCGGGGGTGACGCCCTCCCGACGCGTATCAAGACACTCGGAGTGCCCGTCTCCGGCGTCCCTGCCCCAAGGTCGGCTCTTCGCCCCGAGCAGTGTCTTGACGGCCCCGGGGCCCAGGCGCGGCCCGCAGAAAGGCCGAGGTCGACTGTTGCTCTAAATCTAGAGGTGCTCCCGGCCCAAGGCGCCCCCAGGACTCCCAGGGAGGCCCCCGCGCCCTCCGGAGCAACCCCTCGCGAGGCCCAGAGGGCCCCGTCGGGCTCCAGAATGAAGCGAGAAGCCCGGGGGCACCTTGGGTCAGGGGCACCTTCTGGCAGGCCCCGACGGAGACGACGAGAGACCTCCCGAGCGATCTCTGCGCGAGCCGCCGAGGAGGTCTGGGCCCTCCCCCCGCCGCCCAGGCGACCTCCCGGCATCTGTGCCGGGGAGCCATGCCCAGAACTTCGGGGCAAAGCCGGCCGTGTCGCCGAGAAGTTCTGACGGCATCAAGGCTGTTGCGTTCTTCCGGTGACGAAGACATGAGGAGTCCGACTCAGCGAAGCGCGAACACTAATCAAGGCTGCTGCCGGTGCGGGCACACGAGGGGACAGAAGAAGTGGGAAAGGAGTCAGTGCCCTGAGGGCGCAGAGTAACTGAGCAGGCAACCGATGGGAGAAGGGGAACAAAACCGCTCCGTGCCTCGGGCCAGTGCGCGAGCACCCAACGGTGGGGTTGGGTGGCTCACACCCCACGGCCGCGTGCTGGTCTCCTCCGCCTCCCGGCTCTCCTGCTCCCTCCTTTCCTGCCTCCCTCGCCTTCCTCCTCCCTCTTCCAGGCCGGTGCTCGTTCGTGGAGTCCTCTTCCCTCAGGTGGGAAGCGGCAGCACGTGCAACACAACAGCTAGTACGATTCGGCCCGGTGCACTGCAAACACATGAGGAGACCTCGATCCCCGAGCGACGTGTCGCCTCTTCAGGATAATCCCGAACACTGCGAGCATGATTTTCCTGATGTCAGCGACGACTTCTTGGTTGGCGCTGAGTCCCCCCAAAACACTTCCCTTAGGTCGGGCGTGTCCTCCTACAGGCGGATGGTGGACGTAAAATAAAACAGATCCAACTAATATTCAAAACATAGCACAAATGGTAGCACAAATCGTCCCCAGACTATTTTTTCCCATGTCCTAAGATGGGGTTCTTCTTATTACTCGGACGCCGCCGACTCCAGAGAACCAGAGCACACCTACTCATACACAGACTTACTCATACTCTGACCTACGCATACTCATACCTTCCCATGGTCTGACTTACTCAAGACACAACATGCAGGCCTACTCATACTCAGACTTACTCATGCAGGGAGTCCTTCATACCTAGACTTACTCATACCCAGACTCGTTCCCAAACCTGCTCATACACTAACTTACCCATACTCAGACCTACACATACTCAGACCTTCTCATAGTCTGAGTTGCTCAACGCACGGACTGAGACCTACTCATAATCAGACCTAGTCATACTCAGACTCGCAACGGGAGCCGCCAGGGGTGTTTTCACGGGCCCGTTCGCTGGGGAGCTCCACGCAGTGAGTAGTTGACTATTTTTGGATATTCCTCCTGTAGAAGGACTTGCCCGACTTAACACCTCCCTTTCCTGGCGTGCGGGGCGCGCCCGGGGCGGCGCTGGAGGCGCACCGGGGGTGGCCGGGGTGCTGGGCCTAGCGCCGACCCACGAGATCCCACGCCAAAGTTTTCTGATGGTCTTCTAGCCACCATCGTCGATGACTACCTACCAGACCACCCCAACCCAACCCGAAGACCCGAATTCCAACCGAATTTCGGGTTGGGGGGGGAGTACGGGCTTCATATCTGTTTTTTCAATTTTCCCCGACCCCCCCCCCCCACCGGAAATGGAGGGCAAATCGGGCCCTTCGGGTTGGGTTGGGGTGGTTTGGTGGGCGGTGAATCGATCCTGGCCCTTCCCGTCCGACCTGTGCTGGGGTGTCCTGGGCAGAGTTTCAAGGCGGATCCAGCCCTGGTGACGAGAAGCCTCCGGGACGCCAAAAAGTGTTGAAGGCTGGGGGGCGAGGTCGAAGTGAAACGAAGTGCTCCCCCCTGGGAAGTCGTCTTCCAGTTCGTTTTGTGTCGTGCGTGGCGCTCACGCGGGCAAATCGACGCTGCGCGAGGGCGAGAGAGGTCCTGCCCATGCAGGGTGGTTCGCGTCAGATTGCTTCGCTCCCGCGTGCGCGCAAAGACCCCCGGGTTATCCCGATGTTTGCCCCTCGCTTGTCCCGTGGGTTGTCCCGTGGTTTTGGTCGTGGTTGTCTCCGTGGTCGTCAAACGATTGTCCCGATGGTTGTCCCGCGGCGGTTGTTGGGTGGCTGTCCCGTAGCTGTCTCCATGGTTGCGTCGTGAATGTCGCGAGGGTTGTCCCGCTGATGTCCCGCGATTGTCCTGTGGTTGTCCGGTGGGTTGTCCGGTGGGTTGCCCTCAGGCTGTCCCGTGGTTGTCCCGCGGTTGTCCCATGTTTGTGCTATGGTTGTCCCGACTGTTCCTGGTTGTCCCGTGGTTGCCCCGTGGATGTTCGCGGTTGTCCCGTTGATTGCCCCGTGGTTGTCACGCTCTTGTCCCGCGTTTGCTGCCTCGCCGGTGTTGTCCCACGGTTGATTGATGGACAACCGTGAGACCGACAGATCGATAACGATGAAGCCAACCGATCGGCGGTGCTACCGGTCGGCGGGTAATGAGGCTGACCTCTATAGTTTTGTCATGTATATACACGTATGTATAATTATGTACGTATGCCTGCTTACATGCTTACAGCGAATAATGACACGATATAATCATATCGATAGGCTAGTAGCGACATCGGTGTATGCATATGTTTTTACATGCGCATTGATACTGGTATGTGTTTAACCCGTGGGGCTGCTTGATCGGGATTTCGGTTGACGAATGGTTCGGTCGGTATATCGTGATACCACTGGATGGCTCATGAAACCCAGACATGCATGGTGAGACGGGTCGGTCGCTAGACCGCTCGATTCATAATATCGTCAACTCAATATAGCGAGGTCGTCAGGTGTGTGTACATGCATACGTACATGTGTATACGTATGTTTATGTATAAGAAGGTGTTTAGGTTTATGGGTATGCATCCTTACGCAGGACGAAAGATTCTCCTCTTGAGGTGGAAATGGCGATGCTGAGATCGACAGATAACATCGGCGCCGCCGAACGGACGGCGTCTGGACGAGCCGCGTGCAGCCCGTCCAGGAGGAGAGATACGCATTCATGTTGAGTGGGGCACCTACGCGCGTAAAGTTGATGGGAGTGCGCGAGACAGCACAAGACCCATCCTGGGAAGTTGATGGCCGAACCCCCTTCCCCCATAGAATCTTAACACGGGCGTTTTCCGGGGTCCGCGGATTCGATTTCGCCCGGTCTCCGACGAATTGTAACAATATAAAAATAAGGCTGGACGCGGATCCAATAAAAAATCGGATTGGCGCGGGCGAAAATATGATCCACCAAAATCAAAACCATAACCGCAGTTGCATCCGCTCGACCTTTTTATGGGGTCCGACGGCGGTTATCTCATTAGCGTCTGTTCAAGACTTCAAACCGCCGTTCCAGGCCCAAGACGAAAAAACGTTCGTCCTGGGGATGTATGTATATGAGTATGTATTTGAATGGGTCTATGGCATGGCATGTATATAACTTACGCGCAGGCATTCGCATATACATCGATACATACCTATACAGATGCATGCATGTATGCGTTTATATATGGCTGTATGTATAGGTGCACGTTATATTATATATATATATATATATATATATATATATACAAGACTGCGCTGGCGCTTCGCGCCGTGCCCTTGGTCCTTGAAGCTTGGTAAACGGGCGGAACGGCAGGAAAACCAAACCTGTAATCTATTGATAATCGCGATAAAGCCTTGTTGTTTTTCCGGTATCGCCGTTATAATCATGTGATTCCTCAT